TTTTTTGGTACTGGGTATCGAACTAGGGACCTTGCACTTGCGAGGCAGGCGCCAGAACCACTGAGCTAAATCCCCAGCCCCTAAAAGTCAAAATATATCTTATCTCTCATTTTACTGCATGAGAAACAATTTATAATATAAAAATGGAGTATCAACAAAGCTGTACAAAATTTGAAATGCAGGAAGTGTACAACTGAGGGACAGATTAAGAACTGCCTGCAAGTATACCTGAGCAGCAGCCATCATTCAGGTGCCAGAGCCAGTTCAACACCTTTGGTAAAACCACAAATACTTCCTGCACTGATACTGCCATCACCCAAGGCTCAAACTATTTCTACTTTTCAGACAAGTTAAAGATAAGGAGAAAAAGTCACCACAAATGGTTTTACAAATTAAGTACAATGTTTTATAAATTAAAATTAAGTACAATGTTTTGCACTAATAACAATGGAATTATTTGAGGAAGGTGACATTTCATTTGCTTGGTGTTTGAAGTTAGTGATTTGTCATTAAATCAACTGCGAAAATTCATCTGTTAAAACAAACAAAAAAAACATTCTTAGGCCTGGGCATGGTGGCACGCACCAAGCATTCTAGGAGGCTAAGTCAAAAAGATCACAAATTCAAACCCAACCTGAGCAACTTAGCAAGACCCTGCCTCAAAAATTTTTTTAAACTTTTTAATTAAAAGAAAAAAGCATGTTTAGTTCATGGGTCATTCAAAAAATAAATACTCAGATTTGGCCAGTCACTGGGTCATACTCTGACAAACCACAGTTAAGAGAGATAAAGTGACTATGTTGCTACTAAAACTAGTAGCTAAATATCCTTTTGTTCACTGCTCTGGAAGTTTAATCACAATTCAAAGATGACTATCATAAATAAAATGAGTGTTTCAGATTACAGTGCCATTAAATACAGCAACATAGGAACTTAACGTAGAAACAGGTTCTTAAAAACTATAGTCTCCCTGGCTGAATTAAAGCATAATTTGTAAACAGTAGTTATATTTTTAAGACTTGACGTAGTATTTTGATCTAAGGGTTAAAAAATGTCTCAGAAACTCGTGCTGAAAAACATTACTTTTAGGGCCGGGGATTTAGCTCAGTGGTGCCACTGCTTGCCTCACAAGCACAAGGTCCCGAGTTCAATCCCCCGTACCAAAAAAAAACCAAAACATTACTTTTAAATGTTACATCAAGTCTTAACTAAAAAGTAATATGCTCAAACAAAAGAAATAGAGCTTGTAAGTGCCTAAACTTTCTTTTCAAAACTTCTGAGAAGCCAAAAAGCAATGTTTATGTAAAAGGAAGTAAAAGAGACCAGTACAATACTTCCTTTGTTCTAAAACTTTCCTATGCAAGGGGAAAATGTATGACCAAAACTAAAACAGCAATGATTTTTAATTAATCAGTACAGAAGAAAACACTTCCTTAGATCAGAAGCAAACTATACTGTCATTCATTTTCACATGGCCTGCAAGCTCAGAATGTTTATACATCTTTAAATCATTGAAAATTTTTTTTTAAAAAATTTTATGACACAGGAAAGTGATACAGAATTCAAATTTCAATGTTCATAATGAACTTTTATAAGAACAAAGCCATACTCATTTCCTTCCAAACTGTTTTGGTTATACAGTATTTTGCCCTGGTACTACAGAATTGAGTAATTATGACAGACCAGTAGCCCTTTACAGAAAGTCTGCTCATCAGTACTTTATAATTCACTTACTTATTTACTATTTATTTATCTGAAACAGGTGTCAATACATAGTTTAGGCTGGCCTTGAACTAACTATGTAGCCCAGGCTGGCCTCGAATTCCCAGCAATCCTCCCGCCTCAGCCTTCCGAGTGCTAGGACTAAAGGTTTATGCCACCATGCCTGGCTTACATCTACTTTATTACAGGTTACTGATTCCAAAAACAACATATTGAATGTTTAAATATTAAACCTAGTATTTATAGCCTACAAATATATACTGTCAACTTTGAAAATATACCTGTTTCCATAATGATTATATGGAAACATACATTATATTCTTGAAAATATTAACCTAAGTAGAAAAGTAGTATGTTTAGATATTTGTAAAATATATAAGACTCTGATAGGTAATACCATTTTAGAAATGCATCAACTTTTTTTTTTGGTACCGGGGATCGAACTTGGGTCTTTGCGCTTGTGAGGCAGGTGGCAGAAAACATATCAAGTTTCTAAAAAAATATTTTGAAGCATGGCTTTCTGTGACATTTTTTACCCTTAAATCAAAATATTTCTTCATTCAACTCACATACTTCCCGGTATGAAATTTCAATTATTAGGAATTCCAAGTTTTACAAGGTAATATAAAAAGTCTGTGGCATGTAATTAAGCTTTCCTGATAATTCAAATCATGCCCATGGCAGGTAACAATAAGCTTAGCCCACAACTCAAGTGGCAGCCACATCTTAACACTTTTTTTCCCCTTCTCACAAAGTTCCCATTAGCTCCCACACAGTGTGTTTGTGTGGGAAATGTCCCCAAAAACCTGGAGTTACATACATTTCTGTTGTTATATTTTATGGGGAACACTATAATACCTGAGAATCTAGACACTGGGGAAGTCCCAGATAAATCCTTTGTAAATATCTTGAAGCTATGGAAACTGTAATTTTGTTAGGATGATATATTTGTACTGGAATACAGGACTTGTAACAGCATCAAGGCACAATAAATATGTACTAGTAATAAGCCTAAATCTATATGTTAGTTGTTTCACGTAATAATTCTGTAATCTTTAAGCGCTCATTCATCAATCTTGCTATTCTGTTAGTTATCAAAATAATCGTATCATTTTCCCTGAATTTCTTGTATTGCTACAGAAAACCTTTTTAAGGTTACACTTAACTTGAAATGGGACAATGCCTAAAAGCAGTATGTGCAACTGTTGATGACGACCCCTAGCAAGGCCTGGTGATAAATGTCTCAACAAGGAAAATAATTTGGCACCCATGTAACAGAATGTTAAGTGTTCAACATTTATTTAGAGATGAAACCAACTGTTCTATGCGGAAAGGGTGTTGTCCAGCGTCTCCTTGCGACTGCTCTATAGTACAGAAAACTCAGCTCTACTTCCAACTTGTATAAACCACTAGCAAAATACAAGTGCCTTGGAGTTAGACTCACCCTCTTTAAAAGGCAATTAGTCACCAAATATTATTGCCCGAAAATGCCATGCCTTGGGAGAGGGAGGACTTTACTTCCGACCCAAAATATCAGTATTCTTTCTAACTACACACATTACCCTAGGGAGGAACTCCTACCGACTAGTTTTCTGCATCTCCTTGTGGTTTCGGTGCTGTTTTAATGCCTCTGTAATGTTTTCGTGCTCAGCAGCCTTTAAGCCTCTAAACATCCGCAGGGCCGGCGTACCTGAGATCGCAGCCGGGTGGCGCTGGCCAGGACCCGGAACTGTCCCGATGAATGGAGCAGGACCGGCCCGGCCCGGCCAGCCAGAATGCGGCTCCTACCCACTACCAGCTGCTAGAGGCAGCGCAGTCTCCAAACGCAGGGAGGGCACCCGCAGCGGGAAGCCCTCTACGCTGACAGCCCGCAGCTCCACACCAAATCCTGACACCCGATGCTCGGCCCAGCCTGGAGCCCCGCCAGACAAGGGCAGCCAGTACTATCTCTCGCAGGCCGTCCCCGCAGACACCCATCTCCCAAGGGGCCCAGCCTCACCTCTCGGAGTAGCCATGGCGTTCGCACAGCCCCGCGCGGAACTGACGCGCACCCCCTCCGCACGCCCTGCGCTGACTCGGGGACCGCCCCCCTGGGGTCATAGAGATGACGATGCTCGGCCTAGAGCGGCCCGCCTGTTCGGCCCAGCTACCGCTGTAATCAAGCGGTGGAATCCGAGCGGCTCCTGAAGAGAGGATGAATGGGGTGGTCTGTACAGCCGAGGTGGTGACAAGAGTGAGAAAATTCGTTTGAGGAGTGATTCTGAGAAACTCAACTCCAGGCCAGCTAATGAAGCAAAGTCGAGGGAGCCGAGTCTTGCCTTCTGGGAATTGTAGTCCTCACAAAGGCGATACATCGCAAGTAAGGATTTGCAGTTAGACTTGGAGATTCATTCCTGTCAAAGCTGTTAGAGAAGATCCCAGAATTCATAAAGTAACAGAAATTATTTTCATCTTTTATAACTTCCACCTCGCTCGTCTCTTGTGTAAATTTAGTATAATTTATATATGATTCATAAGTCTTGTGTACGTCAGCACTGTCCTTGACTATCTAGCCATACATTCTAACTGTATGATTTTCAGACAACAAAAGGGCCTCAGAAATATTAAATGTATCAGCAGGCACTCTAACCACTATAATCTTTACATTCACTAAACGCTGATTAGCATAAGTGAAATTAGAAATTCCTTGGCAAAGTGAGTGATGTTTAGGATATATAGATTGATTTAAAATACCATAAAAATACTTCAGCCCTCACGGGAACAGGTATACGAGATTCTAACATGCCCAGTAGCCTCCACCTTCTGTAGCACGATTTTCTCCCAAAAAAATGTCTCTTTAAAAAGTTGAGGGATAAATCTTTTATACCACTGTGTTGTCATTATTCATATAGTTTCCTCTGTTAACTGGGAAACTTAGCCTGCCTTATTAGCATAATAATAGGTGTTTTCAGGAGACTAGAGTTGACATTGTAATTTGATTCATCTCATTTTGGAACAATGTTAGATCTTCCCTTCTCTACCTGATTGTGTGTGCTCACTGGAGCTAATCACGTCTTCCTGTAATTGATATAGTTTATACTTCTGGAATTATTCAGTTCCTGTCTGTTCATGTACTTGTAAATATAGTTAAACATAAAACTAATATCTGACATTAATTTTAAAGATTAAAATTTAATTTAAAATTTAAAAGGATTACATTTAAAAGGATTAAAATATCATATATTCCTGCTTTTGCTTTACAACTACTGCTCTGTACAGTTTCTTCCTATTTTGGAGTATCATTGTGTTCTCAACTACTTCAATTGACTATACATAATTACTCTTTTTATGATGCTTAAATATCCAAATATGACCCTTGTAAACTGCTTCTTTACAAAGTCTGATCAGCTTTTTGAAGAATTTTCTGGCAACAAGCAGTTTATTTCCCCCTGTCCAGTCATGGAATCAAATACACTTTAAGAAACCATAGGTCCTTCTAGGAGAGAATAGTATTAGACACATATGTAAACACTGATCACAACTAATTATCCTCGGTCTCCCAGGGCAAAGACCCTGAGCTCATACTTTGATTTTCCCTTCCCTTTCCTCAGATGTTATTCCCTCTTAATTAAATGTAACATTTGTCCCTTTATACCATCCATAACCAAATACCCCATATTTTTTTAATTTTTATTTTATTGGTACATTTTAGGTATACAATATAATTACATTCATCACTGGAAATTTGCACCTTTACATAATCTCTCTTGGTTCTTATTTTTCCCCGTTCCCCTGCTGTCCCTTCAACCCTTCCATCCCTCCCTATTTACAAAGACTTTGTTTCCATTTTTTCATTTTCTCATATTAATTTCAATCCTTTCTTTTCCCTATCCCTCCCACTTCCCCTTCCCCTTTGCCCCTTTTCTTCCTATAAGAATGGCTGCTATCATGAAATCAACCAATAACAAATGCTGGCAGGGCTGTAGGGAAAGAGGAACCCTGCTCCACTGCTGGTGGGAGTGTAGACTGGTGCAACCATTGTGAAAATCAGTATGGAGATACCTCAAAGAACTAGAACTGGAAGTCCCATTTGACCCAGCTATTCCGCTGCTGGGTATCTCCCCCAAAGAATTAAAAGAATCATACCACAGTGATATATGTGCACCCATGTTCATAGCAGCACAATTTGTAATAGCTAAAACTTGGAAGCAGCCCAAATGCCCATCAACTGGAGACTGAATAAAGAAAATGTGGATTTTTTTAATAAAATGGAGTACTACTCAGCCATAAAAAATGAGAAATTAGAGACATTTATAGCTAAATGGATGCATATTGAGGCAATACTCTTAAGTGAAACAAATAGGACACACGTGTGTAAATACCAAATAGTTTCTCTAATGTGAGAAACTGAAAGTGTAAATAAGGACTAAAAGGTATAAAAGATAATGTGAAATACCCCATTTTTTTTTTGTACCGGGGATCGAACTCAGGTCCTTGCACTTGTGCAGCAGGCGGCGAAACCACTGAGCTAAATCCCCGGCCCATACCCCATATTTTTGTAACACCTTCCTACTCATCTTCCTACTCCAGAATCAAGAATCTGCAGCAGTTTCCTAATGAACTATTAGAGGAAGACAAAATATTTCTTTGCCTCTCAAAGTTCTCCAAAAAGTATACAAAGTCTATCCAACTTTATTTCCCCAAAACATAATCTCCCTTTTTTCCCTCTTCTTTTGTAATAATTACTTTACTACTGAACTCCTTATCAATTCCCACCTTGACTCAACCAAAAACCTGCTTCTAGTTTGTCTTTTCATTCATTCTTTCTAAAAATTTATTCATTCATCCAAAAAGATGCTATATAAATGTCAGGGATATAAAGATGACTAAAACAGTTAAATGTTAAGAAATTCACTATCAGAGAATGCAGTACCTAACTATACAGTATTCCTGTTTAAGTGCTATAATAAAAGTATGAATAACATCCAATGAAAACCCTAAAGAGGAACCAATTCTTTCATGGCTGATGGGAAAAACCTTCAAGGAAATAGTAAAATCTGATCAGGCAGTTTGAGGGCAAACAGAATTTCATGGGGTGACTATAGAGTACATTCCAGTAAAATAGATGGAAATGGAGATGATTACAGTAAATGAAACCATTCAGGTCCAGATTATTAAATATTTCATGTTTTCTCTTATATAAGCATTCTACAAATAAATTCAAAATAAATAAAGGAGGGAGAACCAACGTGGCAGAACAATAATCAGCAACAAAATATAGCCTCTCCAGGACCCAGAATGCAGACACCTGGAAAATAACAAGTTGGCAAAGTGAAAAAAAAGAAGTAGATGGCCAGGAATTGGGAGGGAACTGGAAAAAAATTAGAAATTACACAGGAGCTGGAGAAACAGTGCAATGCGGAAAAAAGAATAAGCAGTCTGAAAGCTCACCCCAGTTCCCAGGGAGGAGGACTTGTCTCTACAGACACAAGCAAGATCTACCTGTATGTAAATTGTCATGATTTTCATACTTGTACTTTAAAAAATGATGTTGAAGATAGGCAAGGCTTAGAGAAGAGGGGATGGAGGGAGGTATTACTAAACATCATGAACTTGATTTTTTCTGTTAATTAACCTTCATTTAGAACTGTAAGATTCCTAAACACAAAAAAGAATGGCTGTAAGCCACTATTTGTGGTTATCTTAGGGCTGGAATTAGAATGCCTAAAGGAATGAAAATATCACATCCAATTCGAAAAGCTAGGATATGAGGGCAATCTGGCTGCAACATCTGTCATCCATTGATTGCCAGGGTTGATTTGGTTGACCTGGCTGGCCAGACCAAATCAGGTGTCCCCTTCCTCCCTCACAGCTCCATTTGTGTCCTTTCCAAAGCTGTGTGGAAGAGGACAACCACCCTGATAGAAGAGGACCATTTCCTCCTCAAAGGTATTGAGTAGCTGCATTCCCCTGCTAGAACCTGCAGACAAGCTCTCAATTTGAAAAGCTAAACTTATTCTTGCTCTTCACTGTTGTTCTTCACTCAGCCACCTTTATAATATCTATGGAAAATAGATTTTAAAGCACATTTGTGTTACAGTTAGCATTTAAACTGCATAGAAAACAAGTTATATAAACATTTTAGTAAAAAAAAGATCAGCTTGGGCAGAAAAACTGCTATATATAAGTCACATACCCACCCCAACTCCCGCCCTGTTAAAGCTAGCTTAACAAACAAGCCCTCTATCTGGAAATTGCTCGTATCCATGAGTTAGCATTAGAAATATGTAAAATTGTATCTCTAAAATTTAGATATCATTAATTCACCATGGCATCAGACAAATAAGACAAAGGAGTGAAGTGGGAAGCCTGTAAGGCAGCAGGAACTGGGTTGAACAGTGGAGAACTGGAAGTGCTTGTCTTATGACAGGCAAAGCTACTACTTACAGGAATGCCAAGATGTCACTACATAAATATTCTGATTTTTTGTCAAAGAGCTAGAAATCCAGATTTTATGTAAAACTTGTGGACCTTTGCTTGAACTCTTCCAAACAGCAAGGTTTTATCATACAGCAATGTAATCAGTGTTAACTTTCAATAGTTAATAAAGCTGAAAATAATGCTTGGGTTTTAAAATTCTAATTTCTAACATTAAATTTGATTATAGAAATAAGCCTTATCGTCCATTAATAATAAACTTAGAGTATTTAATTATCAAAATAGCATCATAATTTCAATCTTATTGCTCCCAAACTTTGGCTAAAAGAAAATAAAGATACATGGGCAGAATTTTACTTTTCAATTTTAATAGAATGAAAATTGTTTTAGAGAACATAACTTTTAGTTTTTTGCACCAGTTTGACAAAATATGAAAATCCAACAAACATTCACACAATCAGTGCCACCCCCACAAAATTAATTTTCATGGATCTAAAATACTTTTCAGTATTTGCCACTGTGCAAAACTAAGGAACATCTTTG